GTTTTTTTGATAAGGCCTTTATATAGATCATTAACAATACAGTTGGCGATATTTCGGAAATCAAAAGATCTTGCTATTTCGTTGCAATTCCACATCTCATCAATAAATAAATTCTTTTGGTCCGAGTACCAGGATAGACTTTAATACTAAATAGATAACAACCAGGCTGTTCGGTCTAGAGATATATATTTTCTCGTAGGTTTAATATTGCCACGCTGCACAAGCGGCAAGCGTGCTTTCTTTGGCAAGTCTATAATGAAATCTGATCCAACTTGCTTGAATTGAAACTCGACACCAGATTATAGAGTAGAACGTCAAGATATAAATATTAATTTAAGAGTTCTCTTTACGATTTCTTGTTGCAAATTTACAGTAAATTTCATCATCCAAAGTTGCAATTTTAAAACGCTACAAACACGCTCCTTTCCCACCCCTCTCACAGTTACAATTAAATTTACCTCCCAGAATCTGGGAGGCACGTGACCAGCCGCAGCCAGGGTCTCTCCCAGATCACAGGAGGAGAGACCCTGGGAACGAGGTTGGGATATGCCTAGGTATTTATAAGCATATAAAGAATTGAGGATTGAAACTTGAGTAGATGCCAATTTCATTTTGATACAAGAAACACTGGAATCTGGCAATCTGTCACATACACAACTATTAACTATTTGGCATTAGGTAAATAAACATAATTTAATATAAAGACTGAGACAAATGTAAGCCTTTGAACTGTTAAACCAATGTTTTATATCATCGTTTTAAATATTGTCGCGGCAAAGTCAAATTTTAAGCCAAAACATCAAGCACGTGCATTCTCAAAATTTGCACTAAAGAAAATGAATTTTACCTAGTTTAAACTTTAAAACTGATATTACAATAATTTATCCTGAATAACGGTGTGATACACACTCAGAGAAACATCATTCCAAACATCATATTCACCTGAGTACACAACACCAACACACGCAAAATAATCATATCATAGAATACACTGATATCGAAGGAACTAGACTCAGTTCCGAAATATCACCAACTCGAACCGACTTGACCACGTAGGTCAGTTGGCAGAGCATTGGACTAGTATCCCAGAGGTCGCGAGTTCGATTCCCACCGTGGCTAAGCTAACTTTTCAGCTTGCCCGGTGTGGATACACACTTAGAGTAACATCCATTCTCGTACTCAGAGCCCTTCTTACGCGCGGTGGGACGAGGGGCTCTGGCCAAATCCGTATCCGAACTGGCATCTGATTGGTTAGTTCTAACACCGAATATTGTTTTCTTACTATGTTTTTATGGTATTCGGTTATGGATTTGGCCATAGCCCCTCGTCGCACCGCGCGTAAGAAGGGCTCTGGGTGCGAGAATGAGTAACATCACAAACATCATATTCAGCTGAGTGCACAACACCAACACACACAAAATAATCATGTCATAGAATACACTGATATCGAAGGAACTAGACTCAGTTCCGAAATATCACGAACTCGAACCGACTTGACAACGTAACTCAGTTGGCAGAGCATTGGACTAGTGTCCCAAAGGTTGCGGGTTCGATTCCCACCGTGGCCAAGCTAACTTTTCAGCTTGCTCGGTGTGGATATACACTCAGAATAACATCATAAACATCATATTCACCTGAGTACACAACACCAACACACACAAAATAATCATACCATAGAACACACTGATATCGAAGGAACTAGACTCAGTTCCGAAATATCACCAACTCGAACCGACTTGACCACGTAACTCAGTTGGCAGAGCATTGGACTAGTATCCCAAAGGTCGCGGGTTCGATTCTCACCGTGGCCAAGCTAACTTTTCAGCTTGCGCGGTGTGGATTCATACTCAGAGTAACATCACAAACATCATTAAAACGCATTTTCAAAAAATCAACTTTACCTGAACCAACATTTCTCCGGAGGGGGGATGGGTTTAAGGTAAACAGTTGACTCAATTGAAAATGCTCATATTTTCATGAAATGTTTTCAAATTTGGGTGTATTTTTCGAAAAGTCTACGGATATTATTGCAAGATTGACTAATTCCGTACGGCTATTTACACCCGGAGAAAGGCAAGCATTAGCGATGTGTAAAGTTCATCAATAAGCGCGAGGGCGCGTAATTATGATATGAAATAGGTGTATGGGTAGCAAAAATGCACAGCAAACCATACCAAGCATGATAACCAACGGCTTCTTTATGAAGTTAAAATGATCAAAGTAATCTTTCCTTTAATCCTAACTGGATCAATACACTATTTTTAGTTTTTAATTAAAGTTTTGAAATAAACGAATATGCGTGCACTCAATTAAACTGAAACGGCAGATCAATTTTTAAACTTGGATTAATGCCAATCGTGCTCTGAACATGGGTTCCCAGGAATTGATACATCGATCAAACTTTCCTTATTTGGTATATTTGTTTGATATCGACACAGTGGTTTACGATATTTTGTTTTCCAGCTATTTTTATATCTTGCATCTCAAGTTATAATGATCAAATTTTTCTAAAATATACTCATCATTTTGTCCATTTTGCCCAACCGATTGACCCAAGAATATTTAGTACAGTGATATATGTATTGCAGTAATATATATAACTTCAGACGGTACCATTTTGGCCTTTTAGGCCTCATCAGTGTAGTGCTGATGAGCAGGATGAAAGTAACTAGTATGAATAGACGGTAATATATATATATATATATATATATATATATATATATATATATATATATATATATATATATATATATATAATTAATTAAAAATAATAATAATTAATAATAATAATAATTATTATTATTAATTATTAAATTAATTATTAATTTAATAATTAATAATTAAATAATAATTATGTATAATTTTGTAAATTATTATTATTATTTTCTGTGTATAATTTTGTAAAAATTATAATTTAATAAAATGCCTGGATTACAAATCTTCAAATCTATTAAATATATATATATATATATATATATATATATATATATATATATATATATATATATATATATATATATATATACAGTGCAGTGGCAACTTAATATCATCGATAATTCTTGGGTTAATAGACCTTTCGTAATATTTAACAATTATTCGCCGAAGGCGAGGTGATTATCGTTGAATAAAAACCGAGACGAAGTCGTGGTTTTTATTCACGATAATCACCGAGCCTGAGGTGAATAATTGTTTTAGTATAATTTCATAGGTGATTATTTGGAAAAAAATAAGAAAATACTCATTTCTTTGTCATTTAATTGACAAAAAGGGTTCGGCCGCCATTTTGAAAATCGCTTAGGTGATTATCGCGTAATAATCACCTCAACGGCAACCAATCAGCGTGGAGAATTTTCAATAATCACCTATGTAAAAATACTAATCTCCTTTACCCAATGGCCTCGCTTCCATGTTAACTTATTTTAGCATGTCAGGGGCAGATAAAGATTATATTCCCATGTTTTGCAGGACGAATTTGTATCTTGCTCTTCTTAGGCTCAATAACAAAATAATTTTCAACCCTACCAAGCATGAGTAACTATTTGACATGAAAACGAGGCCATTGGGTAAAATAGAATAATCGGTAAGATCTATTGTTGGGCTGAACGGTCGGTATATTTTAGCAAAGGTTAATCAACAACTTGTGATGCCGGATCTAAAAATAGTTGGAAAACAAAATATCGTAACGCACTCTATCGATATCAAACAAAAACAGCATTGCAATGTGATACTTTTGCGGCTAACTCGAGCGAATATACGTAATTATATATCGTAAACCAAACTTAATTGGTCATTTTGAAACTCTTAATGCATTATTTAATGATCAGCCACTTACTGCAATGCAATATAATGGCGTCATAGCACCAAATTGGGAATAGAAATATATTATGGGAGGAAAGCAAATGCTATGATCCACTTAAGTTAGTCGTAAACATGTTCTCAATGAAAGTGCTGGAATATTGGCCCGAAAATTTGATATGCCTTTAAATAGGCGTTAGTATGCGAAGGTTTGTCATTAGAGCATTGAAGTTCAGAGCTCCAAGCAACACTAACTTAGTATTGGTTCAAGCAAAAACAGCAAATTTTCAGGTAAGAATTAAGTTTCTTATAGTATATTCTGCGGTCAAAATCAAAATACAATTCTAGCTTTGCATGATATTAATATTTAATGTAAAAAGAATATATATTAATTCATTCATTTGATAACATTGTACCTAAGAAATTATCATCTCTTGTTTACAATTTTTTCGCAGTTATAAGTACTATAAAGGTTTTCTCATTTTAGTTTATAGTAGGGCTGCTAAGGCACCGATTTTAGGCAAATCGTTCAAATCGTGATCACATTCTGAAACTTGGCACAGATACTCATTAGGATGTGGGTAGTACGAAATGGAAGGGGTGCCCAAAATTTAAGCAGGGGAAAGTGTCCGTTCCGGCCTTCAAAATGGCCGACATATCCGTTATACGCCATGAGCAAAATTATGAAATTTTAGCATCGCATATACGGAAAAATAGACCTTCTTGTACAAAATATACAAGAAAAAGTTCAGAAAGTCTATTGCCAAACATTTTATGTTATATTGCCATTAAATTTAGAAAATTTGACAAAAAAATAGCAATGCGCATGCGCAGATTCAATACGTCGAAATTTGAATGTTACACTACTTTTCCAAACATATTTACCCGAAATATATCATACGGAAGGTAAGATATCACATTATACTTATTATTTGTGGTGTAATCATTTAAGCGGCCGAAAATTATGCTATTTTAGTAACCCACACATACCTCGATTATGCCTACGGTAACATTTATAAAATGCCTAACATTTTGATTGACAGCCACATAGCTCTGTGCATCTCAACCCGCTCTTTCTACATTTGCATCTTCCGTCGACACAATTCTTGCACCCACAACGTATCAACGCTTCCGTGACTTTAGAGATGGGTGGCATAATTAAGGCTCCAAACTGGAAAAAAAATCTGGTCTTCCTTCATCCATCTTCAATGAGCTGGGTCCTGGACAACTCTGGTGGCTTCAAGACAGTGGTACCACTTGCGCGCTTGCAAAACAGATCGTTTAATATGCTCGCTCAATGCAGCTGCCGTCGGTGGAATGTTCTCCATGGTTTTCCCCTTGCTTGTGAAGAGGTACCGCCTAGCATCATTTACCTTTTGTCCATCGAACGTGGCGCAATACAAGGTAACAATAAACTCCTCCAAAAGATCACGATCCGCTCCACTTATCTCGCCTTGCGATGTTGCCACTCGTTCGAAAACTGGAGTTACGCTGGGCATCTTTTTCCAGGCTTCATTGAAGGACTTCTTCCCTTTACCTTTTAGCGAAGAAGTGGTATCACAGCCACTAAATGCGTGAAAAAAAAGTAAAGCGTTGCAGGTCTGTCGTCCGAGAGAAACCGCGATTTCGTGAACAGGAATGTATTTGAGATGCTTCCCCACGCCAAACTCGAGCCAGAGCTCCCGAAGGCCGTGTATTCTATGGAAGGCGGAAAGCGCAATTACAACAACATCACTGTCGACAGTCTTAATCAAAATGCGTGGATAAAGTGCGGCGGCGTGTTGGACGTGGACGAACATACGTTCATCTGCTTCCTCGATGTTGCATGGCATTAACGAACGTAAATCCACATTCTGATTTGCAACTGCCCCGTCCTCTCGAGATCCAACGAACAGCCCACGTCTATCACTAATGTTCTCAGATAGCGCATCTACAATCAAAGGAAATAGTTCACTTTTGTTTTCATCACATCGCAGAAACGTCGACCAATTGTTTGGCATAGTCCCATTTGCTTTTACAACCCTCCTGACACCAGAGCCACGATTTGATCGCGTACCGGATTTCAAACTATTCTTAAAATATCTATCAAATACCAAGTCAAGTCGAGCAGCTGATCTGAGATGATGCTCTATAAATGGTTGAATGACACTGGACACATAATCGGCGAATGTCTTACAATCAGTAGGCTTTATCATGTTCACAATTGCCGGTCCGTCAAAAACTTTGGCGTCCACTGGCGGGGTTTCATTGCACTCTGTGTGTTTGACAGCCAAAACTACATCTATAACATCTGAAATTTAAGAAAAACCGAACGGTCATGACATGCTAAATTTGTATAAATAACAATTTAGAAAGCTATTGAATTAATATTCGTGCAAAAACCTGATTTGTTCTTTGCTGGTCTTAAATTTCCATTCTCCGAAAGGCTAGGTGGCGCTACTTGGTTCTCGTGTGCGAAAAACTGCTCAAGGTCTCCATCTCTGTTTTGGCAGGCAATGAACAATTGAGAAAATAAAGCAGCATCGCTTCTCGCTGTTTTCAGCTGCACGTCTTTCTTCGTAGATTTCCTTGCTTTGGCACATTTAAAGATCTGCACGTTATTCTTAGTGATGGTATCTGATATAGGAATGTTGTTGTTCAAAATGCGCGTGTCCATGTATAATTTAAACTGCGCTATTCCGATGGCTTCAACGGTTTGTAGGTGTTTGATCGCCTCTGGTCCAGGTACCAGCTTTGTGTCTAGAGCGTACAGATCATCGCTGTCATCAAGAAATGGATTTCCCAAGTCAGCAAGCGCATCGTACATTCTCTTTACGTCATCAGCAAAATGTTTCTGTGCAGAAGGATTGGAATCATGGTGCTCGAGAATATAACCACACTCTGGTAATTTATTCAAGTCCTCAAATTCTTCTACCATCCGAGAGATTTCCGGACCTGCGATCAGCCATTTCGCAAGAGATGCGTCATTTTCAGTAAGTCCGATGGCTCCTACAACACCTTTAGAATAGAAGAATATAATTTATAATAACGGTGTCTTAATTTTCACGGGGTGTGCTTTTCAAGTCACCAGAGCCAGGGACGTATGATAGAATAACTACAGTATTTAATATCTAAATATACCTTTAATTTTGGCATTAATTTGTTCATGGTTATGGTCCAATCCTATGCGAGAGAACTTCCTGTTTGACTTCTGTGCTGTGAAAAAACCTTTTGCTGTAAACTGTTCGTAAACATCTGGATGAATCTCTTGCAGTGTGACCATACTATTTATATGCACTGGCAACCATCGAGCGTAGTTATAATGATCGAGACTAAACATCCACGGTGCTATCAGCTGCAAGGCATTTACATACATGTCGAAATTCGCCGATCTTATGGCTTTGACAAACTGCAGCAAGATCAACTCCATTTTCAATGTGATAGACCAGTATCTGAACATAGGATGTTTTATGTTTTCTTTCAACCACTCAGCTTCGGGTAGTGGGACCTCTGTGTTGTTGCAGTACCAACCATATGCGTCCTTCATGCTCTGGTATAGGACGCATGCTGTCACTTGGTGGACGTAACGGCAAAATGTGACGTTGGAAGAAGCGCTAAGCATGGCATTAGCCTTCCCTGGCGTCGCAACTTTCGATAAAGCCAAAAGATGAACCCACCCACTACCATCGAGCCAATCACCTGTAAATACAAATAATTCTGTATAAAGCGAACGATCAATGCTTCTTCAAATTTAGATTATGTTAAAAGAGTTTTTTGGATTCTAACCTATGCATTTCATGAATGTCATCTCTATGTGCAGATCACCCATCATGACAAGGATATGCTTATCGTCAATGTCTTTCGACTTGGTCCACTGTATCTGTTTACCCAAAGCATACAGAGGTTGGTCAACAGTCATAACAGGAGTTTGACCTGACAAACAAGTACATTTTCAAAATAAATATTTCATTTTTACACGTTTACCCTAAAAGCGCGACAGTTTGCTTATTTACCTGGGTTCAAGAACGCTGTTTGTTTTTTTATAAGCAACATGGCGTGGTGTATCATTGCAGGTGTGTTAGCGTGTTCCCGAAACAACGGAAGCAGGGCTGTGATTGTCTTGGCAGGCAGTGCGTTCTCCATTATAGACGAGTAGAATGCAGACCTGAAAATATATAAAAGTGCATGTGTCTTTAATTGAGATGATACATTATGCTGTAATACGTACTAGATAAAACATGAGCAGCAATCTTTATCTGATATAAAAACTTGAGCCGAAGGCGAGAGTTTGTATATCAGATAAAGATCGGATGCGAATGTTTTATCGTGCTTTTAAAACGATCCATCTTATGAGCACAAATCTTTATGCGATTTAAAAACATTGACTAAACATTCGTTTCTCTTGAATTTTCTTCATGAATTATTAATGACTTTTATAATGATTATTGCAACTTACCATGTCAGATTTTTCTCCTCAGTCATCACGCTGTCGCCATCATTCAATATTGAGTGAGAAACGTTTTCCAACCACGGTTCATCAGACGTACAGAACTTTGATGTTTCACTTTTCTGCGTCCACTAAAGTAAACACGAAAATACATGAATCTTAGTAAGAACACATTTCCAATGTTTATACACCGTACACCGTTTGTCAGTAATGAAATAATGAAAATACTCAACCTCTTTACTTGTTTCATCATCACATGGCGCGATAATGTCTTTTTTCTTCAAAACATATGGCGAAATGCTTGTGTATTCGGTTGGGAGCTGTTTTAATGTTTTGCTTTGTATTTTATCATTTTGCAATTCAAGGGACGGCCGAACACACCCATCATCTTTATTTTCCAAATGCTGGGAAGCAGATATCGCTGTGCCATGCCACGAATCCTTTGCTGTTCTGGAACTTGGGTTATGATCAATATTGTCTACGGCATATGTGGTGAAGAGTTTGCTTCTCAATGAGTTGGGGCATACCAATCCATCTTTGTCAAACTGATTAATAACATTGTTCCCTAATTGTGTTGATAACGTTGAAAGACGGTCATATGAGACACATAACCCCAGTGAGTGAAGTCTATCTACCAGGTCCTTGCTTCTTGTCTTCGAGTGAATAAGAAATGCTATATAAATGGCCACTGGTGTTTCACGAACTGCATTATTGCGAAAATCCCCCGTGTGTGATCTCTTTTGAGCTGAATTATATGTGAGCAGCTGAGCCAAGACTAAAGCGGGAGAAAACTTGGACGAGTCTTCTTTACATTTGCTTTCAAATCCGGTCAACATATTCATTAAGGACAATAATGTAGGAGATACTGACTGTTCTTGACATTGTTCTTCAAAGTGACCAGTAAACGTTTCCTTTTTGTCTGCTAACTCAGATTTAATTTTTCTAGCAATCTGGCAAAGACCCATAACATCACTGGCTTGAGAATGACTAGCATATTTCAAAGCGGCTGCCATGTCATCTTTGTACGATATGTAAATTTCCTTCTTATCTGGAACAGCTTGCAGGTCACTGTCCAAGTCGAGAATCCTATCTTTAAGCCGTGTGGCATTTACGTTCATTTCCTTGCCAACCAGTCTACTTAAACTATTATAATAGGTTTTTCTAATGTCTGATAACTTCACCGATGCCGGTACGTCTGTGTGTGTACTTATCGACAACTGTTCTTGAATGTACATCATTGTTTCAGCGAGCGCAGAACTTTCGTAGTCCTTCACCCTAGCAGTGTCGTCATCTTTTGGCACCAAGAATGCCCTATATCGGTTTCTGAATTCTGCCATACATTGTAGGTGGTAGAAAGCATCTCTTGCAAATAAGTTTCTCTCTGAGAGCTTAGCAAGGAGCAATGCATCTCCCATTTCAGCAGCAGCTTTTCTGACAAAATCATCACAGTTATCAGTACGAACTTTACTCATTCGTTTGTGCGCATTTGGATGTTTCGTCTTGGCATATTCGGCTCTGAATACACCTGGTTCGTTGCAAAAAAGACACAGGCAAGATTTTAACTGTGTACTTGTGTCTATGCTGGAACGTGTTCTTTTAGAAGATGGTATATCCTCAGAAAGTGTTTTTTTACGTTTTTTATTAGCAGCTGAATCTAATGCACGCTTGAGCTTTGAAGGTGCTAATTCTGTCAGGCATCTTTTATGCCACCGAGCTTTATTGGCTTTTAGGTTATCAGCAATATTTGTATCCCCTTTCAGATCAACTACAGCAACATTTATCTTATTTGGTAATGGAAGACCTTCATTAATAAATGCATCTATGTTCCTTGCTAATGCAGAGTATCCACATACAGCTGGATTCAAATTTGCAGATGGTACAATGAGATTATTGCCATCGAGTTGGCACAGAGCACACAAACTCCAATCCATTATTTATATGTTCTCGAATACATGTAACTACACTTTAAACGTCACAGCTACTGAAACAGAGCAAAAAGTTCACCATAAATACAATTGCAAATATCAGCTCTATTCTTTGTAAAAATATTAAGAAAACTTTTCACGCATAAATTTAAAACACGTGCAAAACGACTTTATAAATGTATATATTAGAAGTTAAATTAGAAGTTAAATCTTCATAATCAATATTAAAACTCGTAATTAATTTTTTTCAGTTAAACAAACTGCAGTCAATCTGTACGTTTATCCATTAATAATAATAAAAAGGTTTCCAAACATTCTTTCAAGCCGAGAACACATTTTCCTCTGTGCCTGTGGGCTGTAATACGATTGATGCTATGAAAGCTATAGCTTTTAAAAAAGGCAGAAAATTTTTTTTATAAAAAAATTATTAAAACAGAATTTTTATCATAAAAAACTTACCATTTACAGGCTTTCGCGCGCTTTTTGTCTTGTTGAACTTGGAATTTAGGCAGCGGGACGGTTCGGAGCACTTCGGGACTTTGAGGGATATTTGTATCTCTAAAAACTTAAATTCAAAATGGCGACGAAGACCAACATTTGTGGCCATCGATATATTGTCATTATATGGAGTCATAAACGGAAAAAAACACACTTCTGACATATAGAAATAATTTTTCAATGTCAAACGTAGGTTAGAGATTTTTTTTATTTTGGATTTAGACGATAGATGTCATGTGTCAGCGTGAAATTCTCATTTGTTCGAAATTATTGTTGCTTATCCTAAAATATGCACGAGTAGTTTATGCAGTATTTGATGTATTTTTGTAGGTTTGTTTTATCCAGCGAGAATGTACAGTATAAAACTAAAGTATAAATACATTGGAGATTGTACAGATGTATTTTTAACTTCGAAATGGGCTAATTTCTTGATATAGTCTGAAATCCCAATTGTCGGTCATTTTGAAGGCCGGAACGGACACTTTCCCCTGCTCAAATTTTGGGCAACCCTTCCATTTCGTACTACCCACATCCTAATAAGTATCTGTGCCAAGTTTCAGAATGTGATCACGATTTGAACGATTTTCACTCTTGCCCTACTATAAGTTATTAAAAAAGCCGCTACAAGAAAGATAACTGTTTCGTCAGTCCCTGCTAAGAGTAAAGCTTCCCTGCCAGCCTGTGGTCCGGACAAGTTACGAGCAACTGTTAAAGCCACAAGATTAGTGTGTAAACAGTTAGAGGGCAGAGTTTAAGAGCTCGAGACAAGAATTAATAAGATGGAGTATCAATTAGTGAGACATTAGAGAAAGACATTTTGAAGATAATGGGTGGTCAGAATTTGGAGGTTACACCTCATATGAAGTTTTTCTGGCAGCAACAGATGAAGTTATTGCAAACTGTGAAAATGGCCAGAAGATATCACCCCCAAATTATTCGTTTTGCATTGTCGCTTCATGGTAAATCCCCAGCTGCTTATAGAGAGCTCAGAGATAGTGGAGTTCTGATCCTTCCAAGTGAAATAATACTTAGAGATTATAAGAACTATTTCAAACCCAAAGCAGGTAGGACATGTTTTAACCCATTGAGCCCCAGTGCGCCCTACTTATTTTTTTCCTTGTTTAATGCCAGACGATTTTACCCATCAATGGGGAAGCACTGCAGCCTAATGAGTTAACCAAAACTTTGTGGATCTTGGGGATCCAATGACAAATTATGCATGTCTTGGGACGAAGATGTTATGGCAACTCATGCACTGGCATTTCTGGTGAGAGGAATATGCACTTACATGAAACATGTCATTGCATATTATTTTACTGAAAATGTAACTCAAAGATTTAAACTTTTCCGTCGCACGTGTGAAAAACGCGTAACTGAAAAACAGCCCTTAAGCACATTGCTTGCGGTATATCGTATCTGTACGACAAAATGTGTTACTTCGCCGCCCTTATTAGCTTGCACCGTATAGACGGACATACACTTCTTTGGAAAATTGGAAGTAAAAAATCTGCTCCATTTTTGAACGTACTTTTTTATTAAAAAATTTACCGGTCACGCATGTCCGCCAGGCGACGATATTTGCCGGTCAAACTGAAATTTTGCCGGTCAGTGACCGGTGACCGGCACTTATTTCGAGGCCTGCTGCTGTCAACGATGGAGCATCACCGAATCGAAAGTTCTTTGAACTTTATTCAATGTTTGTGAGTGATCTAGAGAGTGATGTGGTATATCGCTTCATTTTTTTCTTTCCATCTAATCAAGACTGCCAGAAATTGCCTGTACAACTCTGGTTCCGGTTCTCGCAGTCGTCTTATGTGGAACAATTGTAGCTATTTATTGTTCAGGCACATTGCTGACCTTTTCTAAAGCAACCAAGAGTTCGCCCTGCACGTTTTGCCAAAATTGTCACTAGGCCATACTATCCTTACCCCTTGCAGTAAAATGAAAGTCAAGCTGGCAACCCAAGTTTTAAGTCGATCTGTGGCAATAGCGTTGGAGGAGAGTGGAAATGAGGAAGTCTTGGGTACGCCACAATTTTGCTGAATGATGAATGATTTATTTGACTGTACAAATGTAAGGTCTTTGGCTGAACATGTCAGGAGAAGAAATCATTTCATCATTTAATACATTAGTTTATTTAATATTTAATGGATGAACTGAAATTGATATGGTTAGTTGTAACATGAACAGTGTATTTGGTGATACAATAACAAACCGATAAGTACCAATGTTATAAAATATCAATCTTATTGTAACACTGTTGGTATTTAACCTATTTACATTTTAAAAAGGCATTTACATCAATCTTCACATCATGGCAATCTGTCATGCAATGCAAATTTGTAACTATTCTATCCTTTAGATATATTGTCTTAAGAACCAGTTGATAAGCACAGCATGACAAGTTGCCATTGTTAGCTTTGCTACTGTTTACATTGAAGCCTTTTTGTCGGAGAGTTTTAATTCCTTTCGAAGGGCCTCCTTTTTTGTCTGTTTCTCTTTAATTTGATATTTAGTTAAAAAATCCCTTGCATATGAAAACGACCTCACCTTTAAATAAAGTTTTATCATGTTTTCCAAACACAATTTTTGAGTTGAACTGGAAGGGTGTACTGCACCTGAGGACATAACAATGTTATCTCATAATATTTGACCACTGGAGAATTTAAAGTAGCATTACATATTGTTTTGAGACCACATATCCTGCAACATAAGTCAAGGGGCCACGCTCAATTGGATCCACCGTAGTGGGTAAAGATTCAACCCCTGTTTTCCCAATGCCTATACTGTTTCATTAGATTCTGTGTGGTAAAATCCAACAAGGTTATCTGGTAGGTGAATCATCTTTTTCTTCATATAAAATGTTTTGTATAAAGGATAGACAGCATTGTATAAATCTTGAATGCAAGACGTAAGACGTAGTTTTTATACTGTCGTTTAGATCTGTGCCATATAATTTCTGCTTTATTATCTTTGCCTTAATTTTTTTCATCATTGAAGCAAGTGTATTCATACAAAAAGACGAATCTGGTTTAACCACAGTACTGTGTTTGGAATTTGTATGCCTGGTCAAACCACCTTTAGATTTGCATACTTTGTCACACAATGTACAGGGAAATGACTTTTCCCTATGTATTTCGATCAACGCATCGCTAAATTCGCACTCAATTTTTTCACTGTCTGTCCCAGTTACAACAACAGAAAAAATTAACTGGTATATATCAGGTGTAGCATCTGTGAAATCAAACGCGCGGTCAATAATTTGGATTTTCAGTCGAAGATGTTCATTCCTCTGCAACAAGCGCTGACTGATTGTGTTCTTTCTCCGTAATATTCTCTCCTTCAACGGTTGAAAGCTCTTTGTTAAGACGCCGAAATACCGAAACGGTGTCCATACAATTTTTACTCGTACTAATATATATTTTTCAACCAGGGGCGAAACTAGCCCCTTTTAATTAGGGGGGGGGGGTGTCTGGCAGAATTGCCCTGCCAAAACCAACGATGCCCTGTAGGGCCAGCGCTAATACAATACATCATTAAGCTACGTGTATAATTGAACTGCCGATGGAACGTTACCCATACGAACATACGTTACCCAATAACTCTATATTCTATTACTTAAAATTGTACTCATAAAATCATTTATTTAATTTTATTGGAATTTTTCGCATTTTGATTGCCCTGCCAATCGGGATGATTTGTGTGTTGTTTTTTTGGTGGTTTTTTTTTTTTTTTTTAGGGGGGGTACCCCCCTCAAATTTCGCCCCTGTTTTCAACCGATTAAAAGACGATAAAACCAAAAATTCGAGCCATGCACAAGTTATCGCCTTTGTTATTTCTGTCAACACTCCGAACCACATGCAGGCATCGGACCACGTGACAATTTTTTAATTGCATTTCGACAAATTTTACGCGACTCTTGACGGCTAGCCTAACCAGTCTCCTTCGATTAACCGTGGCTGGTGAAGGCTGGTGGGAAAGACGCTGGTCCAGGCTGGTCACATGTCTCCCAGATTTTGGGGATAACAATTGGGACTTATAGGGTGTAGGGAAGGCAAATGTGGCGTTCGAGTTGCTAAACGAGTTCAAAACAAAACAAGGAGTGTGAATAAAGCAACACAAAGGACTACCATGAAACAAAGTTTTTATTAGCATATATTTTTCATACGTCATAATGGTTATTCTAAGGGACGAAGTTGATAATTAATAGGGCCTTTAACCAGCATCATGATTGGAAATTACTTGATATTTGTGATCCATAGCAGAGCTGGGAACGAACAATACATAAATATAATCTGCGACGAGCCATGATGTCTTTGATGTTTAAGGTTGATCTTCGGACATATCCTAGCATTTTGGTGGCTTTGTTGCACAGGTGGTCAATTTGTTCAGACCAAGTCGGAGTAGAAGATGTTAAAACTCCAAGATCTCGTTCACATGCAATCCGTGCATTCTAAGATGGTATCGTTAAGCTTGTATGGATAAGTAATTTTATTGTGCTTTCGGGT